AGATATTAATTACATTTTCCCACCTCATCAAACATGCAGTTTTGAAAGAAAAGGTATATTTACACTTTTCCCGGGATAAAGCGTCTTTCTTCCATGGCTCTTGCCTCGGGTGTGCCGCTCACAATAGGTCTTTGATACAGTAGGTGCTTTACAGCCATCGAAAGTGTCATGACATGTCGCCCAACCGCCCTGATTTTGCAAAGATAAAGCTTGTGGTTAGTTCTGGGATGATTTGTAAAGATCCGCTGCTTTGTTGAGCCAAAATGCTTTCATTGAGTGTTCATCTCTATTGTGTCATTCACTTCCTTGGCGAAAAAGTTGCGGGTTCGACAATGCAGCGGCAGTCTGCGGGTAACTTCAGAACTTATGATTGCTTAGAGCTCATCCGCACCTGAAAGGAAAAATAAAATCATTGGGATGACACTTATGAAAAGAACAATATTTGAACAAGCCCTGCAGCTGGTTGTGGACATTGTTTCTCTTTCTTTTTTTGATTCACCCTTTCCTCCCCTCGGACGGAGATGGATGAGATCTGAGCTGCTCCTAGTTGGTTTAGTTGAAGCCTGGATTTGTTCAGTGTTGTGATTCAGACCTGGTTGTATTACTTCATCGAGTTATAAATGATGTGCTCTGATCTCACACTATCCTGGAATGTTATCTCCATCCATCATGAAGTCTCTGGTGTGGCGACCTCCTCTTGGGACACGTGAGCGGCTGATAATAGATGCGTTTACGGTGGACAAAAAAATGTTTGTTCAGTGTGTGTGTTAGTGAAGAGGAATGTTACTTATAAAAGTGTTGTATTCATAATGTTACTGTTCATGTTACGTTTGCATTCTCAGAATGGAGCGCTAAGCGTGGCTCGTCATCATATCTCATATCTGATAGAGTGAGTTTCATGCACAAGCTCACAGAAACGTCTAGAGATTTCAGACCCATTTTTTTTTGTTCCTCTTATTTTCATATTGGTGGTGTTATTTTTGGCGACAGTGGTTAAACAACAGTGTTCACATAAAGAAAAAAGTACATGAATTGAAAGTAAATAAAAGTAATGCATTGGTGATGCCATGCCCTACCAGTTGAGCTACAGTACATGAACTAAAAACAATGTTACTTGTAACCCCCTTATTGTAACAAATAAAAATGTTACTTAAATACATTGACGTCCCTTTGATGTCACACCATCCTGAAATGTCTTGTATTCATCCATCATCACGTCTCTGGCATGGCAACCTTCTCTTTTGACATGAGCGATTGATGATAAATGCATGCTAACTGTAACACATTAACTCAAAAAACATTGTTATATTGATTCATTTGGCAGAAACTGTTATCCAAATGGACCTAATGTATATGTTTTATCAGCTTGTGTGTTTCCTGGTATTTGAACCCATGTCATTGGCATTGTTGGTGCCACGTTTAACTAAAAAAATAATAGTTTTACTTGTAACCTCCTCATTGTAACTCATTACTTTACATGCATTGGCGTCCCTTTCTACTTAGATCTCACACCATTCTGGAAAGTTTTCTCCATCCATCATCATGTCTCTGGTGCGCCGTCCTCCTCTTAGGACACACAAGCCGCTAATAGTAGATGCATGGTAACTGTAACATTACTTAAAAAAGCATTCATGTGACATTTATTTGGCAGAAACTTCTATCCAAAATGACTTAAAGATGTGCATTTTATCAGCATGTGTGTTTCTTGGGATTTTTTAACCCATGTCATTAGTTGTCACATTTTAACAGTTAAGCTATGTAAAACTAAAAAAAAAAACAGTACTGTTGTTACTTGTAACCTCCTCATTGTAACAGATTACTTAAATACATTGGCGCCCCTTTCTACTTTGATCCCACACCGTCCTGAAATTTTTTTTCCAGCCATCATCAAATCTCTGGCATGGCAACCTCTTCTTTTGACGCGAGTGGCTGTTAAGAGATTCAGGCTAACTGTAACAGATTACCTCAACAAACATGATTACATTTATCCATTTGGCAGAAACTGTTATCCAAATTGACTTAACGGTGTATGTTTTATCAGCAAGTGTGTTTCCTGGTATTTGAACCCATGTCACCGGTGTAGGTGGTGCCACGCTCTACCAGTTAAGCTACTTGAACTAAAAAAACAATGGTGTTACTGTAACCTTCTCATTGTAATACATTACTTACATGCATTGGTGTCCCTTTTTACTTTGATCCCACACCATCCTGGAATGTTTTCTCCATCCATCATCACTTTTCTGGTGAGCTGACCTCATCTTGGGATACACTAGTGATTGTTAATAGATGCAACTGTAACATTACTTAAAAACATTCATGTAACATTTATTTATTTGGCAGAAGCTGTTATCTAAGTTGACTTCAAGGTGTGCATTTTATCAGCATGTGTGTGTCCAGGGATTTGAACCCATGTTTTTGGTGTTCTGCCAGTTGGGCTACGTGAATTAAAAAACAGCAGCAACAACAACAACATTACTTGTAACCCCCTTATTGTAACGCATTACTTAAATGCATTGGCGTTCATGTCTACTCTGATCTCACACCAGAGATCAGAGATGTTTTCTCCATTTATCATCACATCTCAGATACACCAGCCTCCTCTTTTGACACCTGAGCGGCTGACAAAAGATGCATGCTAACTGTAACACATTACCTCAAAAAACTTTGTTACATTTATTCATCTGACAGTCTTCTAAAGTAACTTAAAGGTGTACGTTTTTATTATCATTTGTGCGTTTCCCAGGAATTGAACCCATGTCATTGCACTGGTGGTGCCACGCTCTACCAGATGAGTTACAAAACGTGTTACTTGTCGTACCTTTATCGTAACACATTAAAACAACTTAAATGTATTACACACAACACTGTTGTAACAGGTTATTGTGTAGTTTTGAATGTGTACTGAGTGACAGTCTATTTGCATGTCATGTTTTAAGTTTGCAAGTTTGAGTGTGATCATGACCAGTGTTGGGGAGTAACTAGTTACATGTAACGGCGTAAGTAATCAGTTACATTACTTTAATAAAGTAATTGAAAAAGTTACACTACTATTACATTTTAAATAGGGTAACTTGTAATCTGTAACCTATTACATTTCCAAAGTAACCTTCCCAACACTGATCATGACACACTTGTCACACTTGAGATGTCTCTCTCTCTCTCTCTCTTTTGGGGGCAAAATACCTCTCCTGCTTTATTAATCTTTCCTTTGCCCTTCATGCTTTAATTTTCCATCCTTCATCTTCAACATCCCTCCCACACAAAGGAGAGGGACAATGTCTTCTTTTCTCTTCGCGCACAGCTCTGTTAAATCCCTGGTCTATTCCTGCAAACCCTCCTTTGTAAATAATTATGCCCAGACATCCCTCCACACTGGAGAACAAGCCTTTCCCTCTCATTTCATCTCTTTTTCCATCCATCTTTGGTGATTATTGGGTCCATTGATCTTAAAGCCGCGTGTTATTCGCTGGGTTTTTAACGACCCTGGTGAATGTGGGAGGATGAAACGGCGCATGTCGTCTTAGCAGTGAATTTGTTCAAATATTTTCTGAATCTTGTACTGGGTTTGTGGCCAGAAAATTTCTTCCAGATTAAATCTTGGATGAACTTGTTGACATTTGTTTCAGATATGTTCCATGAATCGGCTGATTGTGACTTATTATTCTGCTGATTTTTTACTTTTTTTTTTTTTATTGTGGATGAAGTATTAGGATGGATAATTTTTATCATTTATCCTCATCATTCTTTAGGAGAAATACCAAGAGGGGAAAAAAGAAGGGGAAAAATAACATAAGGCATGCACAGGTTTTTGGTACCTTGTTGGTTATTCATCGATATTGGAGTTTTTTTTTTTATCAACATTGTCTGCTATTGGATATTTAATTGTGCATGTTTGTTTCCACTATTTTGTTATTAATTTGACATTAAAAATACCTATTGTTTGCTTATCTTACTTTCTGATCTTATTGTGCACAATTAATCTATGCATGCATCTATACAAAAACTTCTTTGGAATCGATTGCCAAATCATATCTTGCTCCGCATCTAAAATGTCTTTTCTTTTTGCCTGATGTCACCAGGAACCCCCTCCAAACATTTGATGTACACTATAAAGACTATTCACAATCCAGTCAGTTCTCTATGGATTAAATTGTGTAGTGCCAATTTTTTTTTTCTGACTAAATATCCAGTTTTACTCGGAAATACATCCGATTATGTTTTAAGAAAGAGACAGGCAGATAGAGAGATGAGAAGGCACATAAAGCTGGAAATCACCGATTACTTTGGTCAAATGGCTTACATAGACTGGCAGAGATTTGCATTCCATCGGTGTGCGACCCCAATTTTCCCCATTTTCATCTTCGTCATCAGCGCTTTGAAGCTCTTCCAGGGTCTGTGGATGCCAAGCTGTCTGTGGGTTGTTCAGCTGTGCCCAGTTATGAGATTACAGCGGTACAGATGAGCTGAGTTCAGTCAGGACACATAGTCAAGTACAGAGAAATAATACAAATACTGGCTGGTGATGTTGTTTGGATACTCAGACTGTAACGGTATGATATTGACGGCTGCTGTTCTGAGCATCTTCTTTTTCATTCCTTACTGTCTGTGTTTTCTTTGTCTCTCTAGTTCAGTTTAAAAGCCTAGTGAGTTACCTAACTAGACAGCAGACATCATAGACAGGCCAAAGCGAATGATGTGATACTCTAATAAGCATAAAAATATATAGTTCAAATATTAGGTAAAATAATTAGTATTTTAGTAAACAGAGATGTTTTTGTATTGATACAGTTAAATAAGCCTTATTTCATTCAGAACTATCCTGAATATTCCTCAATCGTCTCTGGTTGTTATATGTACGTTCTTGACAGGAATCCTGACAGTTTCTTTACTTTAGCCTGAAGTTTGGATATTATGGATATTTTGAGATAGTGAGAGGACATCTACATTTGAATGTCTGTTTGTCAAAATGTGACTCAATATGTCTACTTCTCCTCTCTTAGGACCCAAGCTACTGGATACAGGTGAATCGGTTAGAGCATGGAGACGGAGGCATTTTGGACCTGGATGACGTGCTGTGTGATGTAGCCGATGACAAAGACCGGGTATGTCACGAGTGTGCATTAATATTAAAGACGGAGTGGAGACGCTGATCTCATACAGTATGTGCTCAACCTGAACTTTCATTTCTGGTATGAGGAATGAACCGAAAACAATGCCAAAACCATTAAGATGTTTTGACTTTTATTTCTGAGATGATGATGGCATCAAAATTCCCCCCAAAAACAAAATCAACAATTATTCCACATTTGTTTCCAAATACATTTAGCCGAGGGAGGGCGAGAGAGGAAGAGTATTATACGCCTCGCTGCTGGGCTTCTGTTGTTTTGACTTGTTTGGTTATCACATCTGGATGTGTATTGATTTCATTTCACAAAGCCTGGGAATGGCCAGGAATGTTGACTGCTATTGTATTTATATTACTAGGGATGCATTGAAATTTCAACAACCGAAACTATGAGTTTTGGAGGGCCGAAATCATTGACTGAAAGGATTTAGCAATTTTAATCGATCTTCATTTTGATGAACCAAGATCTTTTAGTCTATGCTATGCTATGTAGTGCCCGAAGTGCAACGGCTCTACATACAAATTCAGTCAATTTTATAATGAAATTCAAACAATAAATGCAGTTTATTGCAGCATGAATGCATTTCAAATGCAGCAAGATGTCATAAAACAGCCTGTAAACAATACGTCACGTAACTTTATACATTTACCCCAGGAAAGCCATTCAATGTTCACTAACTCGGTAGTTAACTAGAGCAAATAACTCTAGATAGGAGCATTTTGCTAAATATATATATATATATATATATATATAATTATATTTGTAATTAACCTTTTGTCTTCATTATTTAATGTATGTTTGAATGTCTCGAAAAAACAAACTTTTATTATAGACACCATTTAAATATTTTAATAACACATTGTAGTAGAAACATAATTATATCATTAAAAAGTGATATAAAAACTGCCTTATGTGTATTTTAGAGGCTTATGTACAACTTAGGTTTTTTGAGTGTTGATTATTAAATAAATATGATTAATTACTTGATTAAATAAACATTTTTCAGCTAAATGGAAACTTTCATTTAGTTTTTTGTGTTTTGGTGCATCACTATTCATTACCTCTTCCTATAATTTCACTTTATCTGATGCCATATTGACAGTGTGAGCCTGTGTTTGTAACTAAAGTATCTCTCAGTTTCGGACCACCTCATGCTAAATAAATGCCTTTTTCCTCAAGGAATCATCCAGGAAAAGCATCATGCTGGAAGTTTACCTCTCGCGGAGTCATTGCTCTGTCTCTCACTGTGAATAATGGCTAATCTCAGTTCCACTTAAGAGATTCGTCCCTCTGGTGTGTTTATAGCCGTAGTTTGTTCATTAGCGTTGCTGCTAATGTCAAACCCTGATAAATTGCGTTTAGCCAGCAAGCTAATTAGCCTGTCCGTTCCTGCTGGGCTCTGGTGACATCTCTCTGGCTAGAGCTGCTTTTGTTCCTGGTGATTTATAATCGTCCTCTCGGCATGACTGCAATTGCTAATCCATATTAGCTCAAAACGGCACAGTATGGCTACTGTGTCTGCTCAGTCCAATCCATATTATGAAGCTAGTTAGCATTAGCATCATACGTAGGTGTTTGACTTTGAGAGCACAGATCATTGTCATTGATACATGAAGGAAAAAAGGACTTTAACATGTATCAGATGTATTTTACTGAATGCTTACCATGTTCATATCACATTGACATGGTACATAGGAGAGTGGTCTGGATAAGTCGTTAAAGACAAAATAAAAATAAATATTTTTTGTAATATGCTATGATTTAAAAGTTTGGGTTCATTCAAATTAAAAATGTAATTCAGCGATGATGCATAAAATTGATCAAAAGTTGATCAAACATTACAAAAATATTTCTATTTCAAGTAAATGTTTCTTTTGAACTTTCTATTCATCAGTAAAAAAAGAGAATCTAAATCCAAAATTGTACAAAATATGAAGTACCACAACTGTTTTAATAATAATGAGAGATGTTTGTTGAGCAGCAAATCAGCATATTAGAATGATTTCTGAAGATCATGTGACACTGAAGACTGGAGTAATGATGCTGACAATACAGCTGCGCATCACAGAAATACATTATATTTTAAAACATATTCACATAGAAAACAGCTGTTTTAAATTGTGATAATATTTCACAATATTACTATATTTACTGTATTTTTGATCGAATAAATGCAGCCTTTGTGAGCATCAGAGGCATTTTCAAAACCATTTAAATGAAGTCATTAAAAAATATAGAACAGAATATATAGAATGTAGAATGTAAAATAAATCAAATAAAACAACACACTCACGTGTGTTTGTGTGTGTGTGTGTGTGTGTGTGTGTGTGAGTAATGAAACAGACAATTAAAAACATACATATATATTTTTAACACATATATATGTATTTATAAAATTGCATATTTATGTTTTTTTTTTTTGTATTTTAACACTATTTTTCACATGGTTCTTTTCACATGTTCTACGAAAATACTATGGATTTTGACTCCAAAATGATGTGGCTCTTATGTTTCCAGACGGCTTTGTTGGGTAAATGCTGCAGTTGTAGAGTCAGGAAAGCGCACAGGTTTGTGTGTGTCTAGAGAGCTGCTGCTCATCTTGGGAGTGCTGAGCTTTTTATTCGCGGGTGCCATGGAGACATCAGGAGTCAGTCAGACGTCTGCATCTGTGGCCCTGCTGCGTGCGATTCCTCCGAGAGCCACGTAACACTTCTTCACATCTTCGACATCCCTCTCCACTCTTTCATCCACCCGGCTTTGCTGGCATTTCTCGTTGCTGCAGACGACACATTTCAGTGCCACATGCATTCCTGTTTTCATTGTTGTTAATCTTGCATCATCTACTATGTTGTTGTTTCCCTCTTTTTACTTCATTGTCTCTCTCTTTCTCACTGATTTCCTCTCCTGTACCCTTCTAGATTTTTCCATTCACTGCTTTTGCCGTGCACTTGCCGTCATGCATTTCTCATGACAGGATTAGATTTGAGTATTGTTTCTGCTATATGCTGTGCATACGGTGTGCTTGGATTAAGTAGCTTTGCGTGTTGTGTGTTTGTGTCAGATGTTTAGGGCTCAGGTTATGTATCTGGCCTTTTGTGGGTGAGTGAACAATAAGGCTTTTATCTGTTTTGTGTGTTAAAGGTGCTTTTTAATTTTGTTTAGTTTTGCAGCCAATATTATTCCATTTCTGGTAATGGGATGCTAAAACAAATACAGAGTAGTGCACTTAGTCTTTGATTTCAGTGTTTTACAGTTGCTTTAGGAACTTAGATGCTCAATTAAATTAATCTTTAACCCTGTAAAGCCTGATATATGACATAAAAATATATTTTTTTAATGGATCAGTTTATTGAACCTTTAGACAAAATCTAAGACAAAAAAAATCATATTTCATATTGTGTAAATATTGTGTGTAGTGAAAATACAGAGGAAAAACAGAGTAAAAATATGCAAATTTGATGCAAATGCTGTTATTTATATGACCAAAAAGTAAGATGATATTCTTACAGCTTGTAATGTAAATCAATGAGATAGCAGACTACATGCATAAACCGATATAAATATAATTTGTCACTCTATATCTCCCAAAAGATGATATTTAAATGCTTTATGATCGAAGCTCTATAGTTTACAATGACGATTGAGAGATGAACAAATACACGTTTCTTAAAAGCCTGATGATCATATCTGATACTCACATTTCAACGTGACTTTTCTAAAACATGATATATGGATAATCAAATAAACCTAAGTTGCTTCGGTCCAGTACATAGTCATCTTGAAATATTACCGAAAATCACAGATTTCACAGCAAAAAGACAAGTGAAGCACGAGCTGAAGGTGGATGTTCTTACAATTACACTAAAAGGCCTTTTACTTGCTAAAAAGTATTAATCAGATGACAGAAGGAATGGAGTAGATTGTGTGCAACAGGTTTAACAGCAGTTTTGTTCGTGTTGATCATTTAGGACTTAGACATTTGTGTATATACAGTGTATAAACAGCTAATCTCAAAATGAATATTCATTTTTATATATATTGTACGTTACAATATTTGCTTACTAAATTCATCAATTTTAGTATTTCTAATTGATTTACTGTTAAAAAAAAAAAAAGATGTGAATTTTCATGTCGTCTATTTATCGGTTATTGGCTATAACATACACTATAACCTAGTGTAAAGTAAGTTTGACTTCAGAGTTCAATCCCCAAAGCTGCAGAGCTTTTCTCAGGACGTCCCAGTCTGTCATCCTCATGTGGAGATAGATTGATGAAATCCTCATGGAAGCTGCTTAAGCCCTGAGAGGCTGTTTGGAGCCTGTGAAATATGTGTGCGCTGCTGCAGCTCGTGTGTTTATGGACTCGACGGGCTGCCGCTCGCTCATTCATCCTGCAGGGCCTTCTGTTAGTGGCTGCTCCTGGACGGGTGAGTGTTTTACCAGGTGTCATCATGTCACCGTGAGCCCCCTCCGGTCCAGACTGTCTGCCTGCTCATGCTCTGGCCTTGGATGCCGGATGTGACTTTCCACGATGAATATAGTGTAGTTATTATGTAGGGCTGCTGAAAAGACCAGCAGTAAGATCCAGTCTAGTTTATGCTGGTTGGTGCTGGTGAGGTTGCATCATGAAACATTCACTTCACTGTCAAACAAATAAACAAAACCAAAAACTGTATATAGATTTCAAATAAAAGCTGTTATTTTCAACAGTCTATTCATTAAAGAATCCTAAAAAAATAGCCTTATATAAATATATATATATAAGGCTGTTTTTAACATTGATAAATAATATCAGAATTATCATAAATGTTTCTTAAGCAGCAAATCAGCATATTAGAATGATTTCTGAAGATCATGTGACACTGAAGACTGGAGTAATGATGCTGAAAATACAGCTGCAGATCACAGGAATAAATTACATTTTAAATTATTTGAAACTAGAAAACAAGTATATTAAATTGTAATAATATTTAACAA